AAACAAAACCCAATCAAACACCCCCGCCCCAAACAAATAGTAATCCAAGAAAATACAAGAGTCAAAATAAACAACTTAATTAAACCAAAAGCTGGATCTCCGCAAGCATCCCTTTCCCTTCCAACTTCTTGGGGTGGGCTGAAGGAAGCCCCTCCAACTTTCCACCGGACCTTTTCTTTAGGGTCAAGAATCCCCCACTTTCAAGGTATCTACGTGCGACTCTAGGAAAGGAGTGGGCGCCGGCGGGCAGAGGCGAGGCCGCCTGACTCTCCATCCTTCCCACCGCGGTCCGCCTGCCCTCCAGCCGGTGCGCTCTGCTCCGAGATGCTTCGTTACATAATCCCGGCTCCGCAGGGTCCCCAGGACTCTTCCCTCAGGAAGATCGCGGATTCCAGACCCCGGGAGCAGCGTCCGTAGCCCGCTGGGCGCTGCCTACGGTCCCCACTCGCCCGACGTAGCGACCCCGACCCAGGCTCCAGGACGCGCTGTCCCGGGGTATCACGACCCGGTCGGCGCGACCCCCAGGCCCCTCCGCGCCAGATCGACCCTGGGTGCCACGCTCCGCCGCTGGCCCCGTCCCCTCCTCTCTTCCCGCCGCCCAGGCCCCTCTGGGGGTCCGCGCCCCTCGCCTCTCGGTCCGGGCCCCTTGCGGAGTCCCCGCTCACCCCGTCATCCTAAGCTTTGCTGGGGTCCTCTTCACACTTCTGCGCTGGCCCCTCTCGGGGTCCCCTCTCTCGGACCCCCTGTCCGGTCCCTTTTGGGTCCCCTCCCTCATACTCTCACTCTGGACCCTTTTCGGGTTTGAAAAGGGTCTTTTCAACCCCTCTCCCGGCTGTTCTGGTCCCTCTCAGGGTCCCTCCGCTCGTCGCACTGTTCCGGCCCCTCTGGGGGTCCCCACCCCGCACCCCACTGTCCTGGACCTCTAGGGGTGCCCGTCCCTCGCCCCGCTGTCCCGGTCCACCCGGGGTCTCCCCTCACGTCTCTGTCCTGCTCCTCTGGGGACCGCCTCCCTTCACCCGCTGTCCCGGTCCCTCAGGGCTCCACTCCCCTCACCCCGCTGTCCCGGTCCCTCTCGGGGGCACCTTTCCTCACCCTCCTGTTCCGTCCCCGTCGGGTCTCCATCCTTTACCCCGTCGTCCCAGGCCCTCTAAGAGACCTCTCCCCTCGCCCCACTGCCCTGGCCCCTCTCGACGTCCCCGCTCGTCCCGCTGTCCCGGTCCCTCCGGGGGTCTTCTCCCCACAGACCGCACTGTCAACCCTCTCCCGGAACTCCCCTCGGTCGGGTCCCCCCCGACCTCACTCCTCCCAGGGTCCCCACGCCTGGGCTCACGTTGTCACCACTCGGCACCCGGGGACTCTCACCTTAGACCTGCTGTCACCACCCCGGGCCCGGCGTCGCCACCGCCGCTTCCTCTCGCACACTTGTTCCCGAGTCGCTCTCCTGCGGCTTGAACCCTGGCGGACCCACGGGTCGCGTCTATGGGTGCCGGATCCGGCTGTGCGCAGCCTCCGCCCGCGGTCTCGGAGTCGCGCCCCACTCTCCACACAGGACCCCACCGCCCCGCGCCACACCAACCCTCCCGCGGCCGCCGCTGCTGCTGTCCGAGGTGCGGCTCCTGCCAGGGGTGGCCAATCGCACCCGACTGCGCCGAGCGCGCTCCGCCCCACCTCCTTAGTCTGCCCGCCCCCTGTCCCTGACCACGCCCTCACTCGGCTCCGATAGGCTCTCTACTGACCTTCCCTGATCGCGGAGCACCGGGCCGAGTCTGGATATAGTCATTTGATTGGAAGTGCCTGGGAAGCCGAGTGGTCGATGGGGCCCGAGGATTGGCAGAGTCGACTGGGGGCCGGACGGGGAGGGGCGGGGCTTCCTCGGACTCGGAAGACCTTGCAACTTTATTTACCCGCGGGCCCGCCTGGGGCGCGGTCCGTCTTGTTTGTGTTGCGCTGGGGTCAAAGTTCATGGCCCTCCTCCCCACGCCTGCACTGTTTTGGGAGACTCCTGGAGACCACCACGTGAGAGCGTCGGGAGAGGACGCCCTTCTCTCGCTAGACCTTGAGCGGATTTCTTAGTCATTCTGCCCTCAATTTGTGCACCATTTATTCGCTTAGGTCTTGTAAATATTTCCTGGATCTCTTGACAGGGAGTTGCCATTCCTTGTACTGCGTTCAGCAGACGTCAGTTTAATGCTGTTTGGGAAAAAGCTATGTACTAGGTGCGTTCTGTGCACGCTGAACGTTCAACGGGAACGGGGCACACTTTGATAGGTTCAAGGGAAAAAAAAGGAAATAAACAGTTTATGGGTTTTGATGACAGTAGAACTAGGAACTGTGGCATGGGCACCCTTGTTAGCTCAGCAAGATTTCAGCAAGCATATTCAACATAACCTTTTTCTCAGGGTCACAGGTTTTAATGATTCTGTGTGAATTTATGGCCAAAGGATAACGAGCTTTGACCCAAGTGCAACCTGTGATAATCAGAGACCCATCTTGACCCAAGCTGAAAGTGCCAGGGTTGAAAGGGCGCCATGCTACTCAGGGCCATTCTTACATTTTTGTGAAACTGGATATGTTGATTAAATCAGGACTGGGCACTGAAAACTGCTTTCCTTACCCACCCAGAGTAAGTTAATGGACTTTGACAATTTGGCATTTTAAATTCCAAAGTGGGGCTGGCAGGACTTTTGCTTCAGTCAGGTTCTGGACCAGATATTTCCAGAGCTGTGTGGCCGAGTACCACTTTGGGAACAGATGCAGTAGAAGATTTCATGTGGCAAACTTGATTTTGACATAATTTGATTTTTACAGGCATAAAGACTGAACAAAATCATATTAAACCACCATGAAGGATGGGTAAGACTAAAGCCATGAATTTTTTTGAGTAGGTTCTCCCTTCACCAAAGAGCATTTATTAGCTAAGAGCTCATCCCATCAGTTTTGCAGTTGGATGAATAGAAAAAATGGGGTAAATGTTCACCACCCAAGAGTTTAGTTGTGTCTTTGCATTACATATAAAAAATGCATGACTATTAACATATGCTGTTTGCAACCAAGAAGACAAAACCCCAGTCTCTCTCTGGACAAAAACAAGAAAAACCCCTGTCTCTCTCTCTTTCCCCCCCCCCCCGCCCCCCCAGGAGCTGGGGATTGAACTCAGCAGCACTTTACCACTGAACTAAATCCCCAGCCCTTTTTATTTTTTATTTTGAGACAAGGTCTCATGAACTTAGTTGCTTAGGGCCTCATTAAGTTGCTGAGGCTGGCTTTGAACTCGCAATCCTCCAGCCTCAGCCGCCCCAGTCACTGGAATTATAGGAATGTGCCACTGCACCTGACTGGAAGGAAAAAAACCAGTCAACATTCAACAATGAAATCAACTATTTTCTGATTCATTATATCAATGAACTCTGATTTCTAACATGGTGGACCTTTTTTGCTTTATGAATATTGTTACTGATAGGAACTCTAGTTGCTCCATGTAGTTGATTACAAATAATTTAGATGTGATCCAAAAAATTTGGAAAAAGGAAAAAAAAAAAAAAAAGAGAAGGAAAATGACTTCATCTTTTGGACAAGAGACAGTCCTGAAATTCTAGTTTAAATATAGACAGCAGACCTACAGTGAGCTGAGAATGCCTCTTATTGAGAAGGACCTTCAGAAGATTGCTGAACTCCTGGAAAGACTTCTCAGCATTCCATTCTGCAAATTCTTGTATTTTGTTGGGAGGAATTATCCCTTACAGAGAGAGCCAAGATTTTAATTAAAACAAGGTAGTAAATAAGAAACATCAAAATAAATGGTAGGAGAATAAAATTATACATTTTTAGAAGGCTCTGGGGGCCAATTTAGATATAAATTGTGATGACACGGGTTCTAAGTATCAGAATGCTATGTTAGGCTCCACCCTGGTTTTCACATCTATGTTTGGTTTTATTACTTATTACTTTTTCTATGAAGACTTGTATCTAAAATAGAATGAGGTTACTTTGGACAGACCATTAAACACCTCTGGGCACTTTTCTTTATTTTTGTTTCTTGTCACAGACAACTAGACCACGCTGTTATCAGCATAAGGGATACCCTAAATTCGCTTGCTAAGCAAAATTTGCTACACTGTCTTCCCCTTCTAGTCAGAGGGAATCACACAAATTAACTCATGCAGATACTCAGCTTTTTACCCCAGAGTTTTAGCCAAATTGCTTCCTGTAGGCAAATGCTCTGCTCATTCAGTTGAGATTCGGTTAGTAAGCTACTGGACTGGTGCAAAAACGGTTTCTAAACATTAATATTCAAGGAAACATGAGGCAGAAGCATGGGTCTGGTGGTCTTTATAAACCAAGCACACTGGACGCTGCCATTTTCTTCCCCTTAAGACAAATGACAGCTCCTCTCGCCATTCGTAGAATCAGGAAAAGACCGTGTGGAGTCAAGCCGTGCAACAGAAAGGATTCCCAAGGACTGGGAAAGTACGGTTTTGCGGCCCCAGGACGGAATCTCAGCATCCTTGTCTTTATTTCAGTTCTTCATTTAGGGGAGGAGCCAGGCTCCCCCCACCACGCCCCCTGTAAGATAACGCACACTCTGGCCGTCCAGATTCCAGACTATTAAGAGGATATGCATGTTGTTCACCTGCTAAAATCAGAGTCCACTTCCACCTGCCCAAGGCGGGGCAAACCTTCCGCCCCTCAGGTCGCTTACTATCCTCGTTTTAGGTTTGGCTCCGGGCGCCACCTGGCGGATGTTTCCGGAAGTCTCGGTGGAGACTCGGGGTCCTGGCTGCGGGTAGGGCTGTCCGTAGATTTGCCTAACTCCAGAGAGCCGGTCTCCGCCCCTCCTCCACTGCCCGCTGATGATTTTAAGTCGGCGATGAAGGGGCTGGGATTCCTGCAAAAGGGGCGTCCGGCGTCCTCCCCACCCTCTCAAGGATGGCGGAGTCAGGCCGTCTTCGGGCAGCTCGCGACCCGGAAATCGCCTGCGGCGCGAGGCCCCCGTTGCCGAGCGCGGGCGCGGGGGGCGGAGCTCGGCGCAGACGGGGAAGGGGTCGCCGGGGCTCCAGCTCCTCGGGTTAGGGGTTCCCTCCGGCGCTGCTAGGCAGGCGTGGAGTCCCCAGAGCCGGTGGCCGTGATCTCCCGGGGGCACGCTCAGCGGCGGCTAAAGACGACATGAGTGCTGCGGGGCTGTTGGCTCCGGCTCCGGCCCCGGCTGGAGCGCCGCCGGCCCCGGAGTACTACCCAGAGGAGGACGAGGAGCTGGAGAGCGCCGAGGACGACGAGCGCAGCTGTCGGGGCCGCGAGTCTGACGAAGGTGCGTCCTCTAGGTCGCCAGACGGCGGTGGGCTGGGGTGGAGCTGCACGGGAGAGGGGCGGGGCGGCCTCCGGGGCTTGGGGCTGGCTGGAGGGGCCTCCCGGGGGGAGCGGGGCAGCCCGGGGTGCGTCGTACCCCCAGTCATGGGAGGAGGGGGCTAGAGGTGGTGTGAGCTGCAGGTCCCTTTAAGACAAGCCCCCCGCCCCCCAGCCCAACCGTCTTTGATTGAACCTCAGAGTCTTCGCGGGTTGGAATGGGAAAGTCATCCACTGAGTTCCTCGAGTAGTACTCCCCCCGTCCGCCCCGAGGATCAGAGTGGAGGCCAGTTTGGCTTCTTGGGTCCCAAGTCCCCTGAAATGCTTTAAATGAGCTTTATTTACGTGGTACAGCGCGCGATGGAGAATACAGGTTAAAAGGACGGGACCAGCAATCGGGTAGCCTAGGTTTGAATTTGGCTGTCATTTAAACCAGCTTCGTAACCGTACACAACTCGAACCAACTGCAATGGTGTCCCTAGTCGTCCCCCTTTCTTAGGGAAGGTGTGAGGATTAAATGAGATAATGTGCATCAAGTACTTGGCCGGTCACCACTGGAAAAACAGGCACAGGAGGAGGTAGGGATTTACTTTATGGCGCCCAGACGTATTTTCGGTTCCATGCTCTTTATATTATCATTTACTGCCTCTCAGCCTTGCTTTTCAAATTGGGCTTTACCTATTGGCAAGTGTGAGCAAAACTGTTTTGGAGGCATTGAGGAAGGAAACTGTCTGCAGGAGGAGATAGGTGAAGAAATGTAAAAAGGGCAAGCAAGAAAGAGGAGATAGAGACTGATGAACCGGTGGAATATTCTGGCACAAAATAGGGCCGTAAAAGCAAGAGCTAGACCAGCTGTCTGGAATGAAGTCTGTTTTAATCATCTCAGTCTCCCCAGTGCCAAATAATGTGGCAGGCTGGCACATGACAGGTGAAGGTCTCTTCCGCTGAAGGAAGGGAGAAGGGTTTGTGGAGAATTGGATCTGCAACAGCCTCTCAAAGGCAGCTGCATATAGGGGAAATAAAGTTGAAGAAACTTACATTTGATTCTACCACATTCCAAGGCAAGACTGAACCAGATTTATAATGTGAAATACATGTAATGCTTTTAATACCCACCAGGGGGAGTGATGAAGCTAAATTTTATTTTATTTTTTTTCCTCCTCGAAGTATAAGGGGCTGTGAAAATTATGTAGATACTCCAGCCATTTGCTTGTTCTAAGAACGGTGTTTTAAAATGTTTTTGTTTTATATTCTTGCCTCTGTCCTTCTTCCTTTGATTGTAACTTTGCACTTCAGTTCTTAGAATTCAATTTGTTTGGGGGGCATTCTCTTTTTTTATTGTATATTTTTAGTGTAAAATGTTAGAGGGGGTTAAAAATGAGCAAGTATCAGAAGAGAATGTGTATGCTAGGATTTCTTTTTTTTTCTTTTTGTGTGCTGGGGAATCAAACCCAGGGCCTTGTGCATGCTATACAAGCACTTTCCCACCTAGCCTCGTCCCAGCCCCACTGAGTTTTTCTTGACAGCGAGTAGGGCTTGACTGCCTACCGTGTCCAGTCTTAGCTTACATCTCCTTTCCTGAACTGCCAGTGTTGTTGCTTCTGCAGAGTAGCAGCCTTGATCATGACTGCCTGTGTCTGATGCACCCTCTTCTCAGGCTGCATTTCAGGTAAAGGCAAGCTCTCTGTGTAAATATGACTCAGTGTGTGTAAGTTAGAAATGGCATTTTCTTTCCTGTCTTAACAATATGTTGTCTTTTTCACTGACTGCTCATGCAGGCCTGCCTTGAGAAGAAATTCATTTTACAGAAACTTATTAAGTACTTATATTGTCAGGTGATACCAAGTCTATGAATTATGATTTTTATGTAACCCCTTTTCCTTAATATTACTCAGACACTGAGGATGCTAGTGAAACTGACCTGGCAAAGCACGATGAAGAAGACTATGTAGAAATGAAGGAACAGTGAGTATGATTTTTGTATTTATTTCTTTTCTGAAATGTAGAATTGATAAGAAAAATTTTTATAGCTGCCATGTGTACATGGTTTTGACATTAGTGCTTTCAAAGCCTGTGTATATATGTAATTTTTTACCTCTAAATTAATCAAATTTAATTAGTTTTCCTAAGATGCTCTTGAAGGGTAGTCTCAAAGGAACCTTGGTGGAGGTGATCACAGGGGATGAAATAAGGCCATATTTTACCATGGCTTTTTTTTTTTAGATGTGAAAGCTAATGTTCAGAGAGATGTCTCAAAACAACTGTCTTCTCAAATGGATGTGAACCATGAGGGCCAACTCTGTGGGCCCAAGGAAACTGGATTGCAGAGCAGGCTGCTGCTGACTGTCCCTCTGCCCTGTGCATGTTCACACAGGTCTTTGTCATCCTCACCAAACCCTGCCGCCACCTAGCCAGACAAACCCGCCACCCCTCCCCCCCATTCTTGGGCTCAAGTGACTCTCCTGCCTCAGCCTTCTGAGTAGCTGGGATTGCAGGCCTGCACCCCTAGGCCTCCTGCTTGTTTTTATCATACAGAAGACAGTATCAAGATACATGCTCGATAAGTATTTATTGGAGATATTTTAAGGATCTTGATGTAACTTTTAAAAATCTTTATTTTTAAACTAGATTATCCACATTCTTCCCCTTTTCAGTCCTGTGTGCAAATGTTTGTGGCCATCCTCTGGATTCTGTCATCCTTTTCAAGCTTTGGAACCTGAAAGGGGTAATTCAGCTAGGTCTGACTGGTGTTGAATGAAGGATTAAAAATTCACGTGCTCTTGGACTTACTTTTTTTGTGGTGCTGGGGATTGAACCCAGGGCCTTGTGCATGTGAGGCAAAAGCACTCTACCACCTGAGCCACATCCCCAGCCCCTGTGTGCTCTTTCTCACAGTTTCATCCCTGAAACTGCTTTTTTTTTTTTCTTCTTTTTTTTAACACAATGCCTTTTTATTTTTATTTTTTTATGTGGTGCCGAGAATCTAACCTGGGTCCTGTGCGTGCTAGGCGAGCACTCTGCTGCTGAGTCACAATCCCAGCCCCGCCGCGCCCCCCCCCCGTTTTTTTTTTTTTGCTAGGTTTTTTCTTTGCAAGCTTTTTACTTGACCTGTTCGAGATGTATTCTTATACATCTGTCCCTTTCCCTGTACATGATCTCAGTGTATCTGATTTTCTTTTTTCTATTTCCTTCTTCAATCTGCTAGTATTCCCTTTCAAAGACATACTCAGACATGGGTACCAGCTGGCACCCTCCATGTGGTAGAAAATTTAATGCCCTGGGTTCCAAATATTGACTTCTCATGTGTGGCTCATACACCCCTCCTGTACTTGATGTTTTTGAGCATCAATTTTAGAGACAATCTTTTGATTGAAAGTGCCTCCTTAATATTTAGTGAGATAAAAAATAATTTTGATTAAAATTGGTTGCTTCCTGTGATTTAAGGTGAGCCTGAGGAGTACTTCTGAATTTGCAGTAAAGGGCAGACCTTCTGTGGGGTTCTCAGATTCTTCCTATCCTTTCCTCCACCTACAGAGAATTGGTTATTTGAGCAATTAAAGGGCCATTGTGCTGGGTTTGGTGGTGTCTGTCATCCCAGCTACTGGGGGAGGGTGTTGGGGCAGGAGGATGGCAAGTTCAAGGCCAACCTGGATAAGTAAGTGAGACCATGTCTCAAAATAAAATGAAAAGGGGGGCTGTAGCTGTAGCTCAGTGTAGAACACTTGCCTAGCACATGCAAGGTCCTGGGTTCCATCCTTAGTACTGCCACCGCCGACACACACACACACACACACACACACACCCAAAAAAAAAAAAAAACTTTTTTTACCCTTTTTTTTTATTTGTTGGTCTTTTTTTTTTTGGGGGGGGGGGGGGTTTGCAGATCCTGTTTTTGTCACTGAGAAATGGGAGGTGTTTTTCAGGTAGAAGCAAAAATATTGTCAAAATGTAATTTATGTATAGAATCCACGGTTCAGGCAGACTTGCCAGAGTGTGTAATTGCCTTTAATCCACTGGGTATGGGAGGCAAAAAATACCATGCCGTGTTCTTGTGCTGTTGTGTGCTCTCACGCAGCTGGGGCTGCAAGTAAATCTTTCGTTTTAACTTTTGTTTCTGAATGTCTATTATTTTTCTGATCCTGAAAGAGGAGTGCTTTCAGCAATCATATGAAGGTTTATTGACTTGTGCTCAGACAGCTATGCTGTCTGTATGGAAAGACAGGCTGGGGGCATAGACTCACTCCTTTGCCATTTAGAGTCTAATTACAGAGCTGATGTAAGAGTTGTGTTTAATGCCATTTATATGTCCTCGTTATGGGTGTGTTCCTTCTGCTAAATCCAACAAGCTAGGCAGTTCCTGTGTGTAGAATGTTTCGGAATAGAGTACTGAGTGTTTGTCTTTCAGCGTGGCTTTTCTTTTTTTCAGGATGTATCAGGACAAACTGGCTTCTCTCAAGAGGCAGCTGCAACAGCTACAGGAAGGTTGGTGACCAGCTTTTTTACTCCTAAACATTCTTAGTGTTACACACCCTTGAAATCTATTTTACTTCTTTGTGGGAATGATTGAAAATTTAATTTGATTTTTTTTTTTTATTTTAATTTTTTTAGTTGTAGATGGACACAATACCTTTGTTCCATTTATTTGTATGGGTGCTGAGGATGGAGCCCAGTGCCTCTCATGTGCTATGCAAACGCTCTATTACTGAGCTACAACTCCAGCCCCTAGTCTGACTGATTTTAATCAGTACACATGTTGCTCTCTTTTATCAGTAAAGGGTTGATTTTTCAAATTTTATTTTAAATTTATTTTCAACATGTAGCAATTTCTTCAAGTGAACTCTCATTTGGGGCTGTCTGTAGGGCACAATTTGAAAACCTCTGTGCCTCAGGCTGTGTGTTTTTGAGGGAGATGTTATCAAAGAATGAAGTTTTTATTCCTCTTCTAGACAAAGCATCAATGGACTGTGGATCAGCCATGCTGTTTTCTGTTTTGTTTGTTGAATTACAAGTGGGCAGAGTCTTGTCGAGTGCCATTGGCTGCTGAGGCCCAGGTGGCGTGGGGATGAGCACAGGCACTCAGGTTCCATAATGGGAACCATTTTCACTGCTGTCCAGCATGTGACTCTGGGCATGGCCCTTTCTCTCTCTCAATCTGTTTTCTAATCTGCGAAATGAAAACGAGAGGGAGCGTGTGGAATGTTGGATGCAGTATGAGGACCTGGGCATGGTGCGCTGTTGCCATTCACTCTCTGATTTTCTGTTGGGCTGTCCCCTGTCAGTGATACTGCCACTCCCCACCCTGCAGTGCTGGGGATTGAACCCAATACCTCAGGCATGCTAGGCAAGTGTTCTCCCGCGGAGCTGCATCCCAGCCCTTCCACTAGGCACTTTATTGCTGGGGGGGTACACTCACCTGGACTAGCCTGTGAGCAGGTGTTAGGATCAGGAGACACTTCCCCACAAATTTGGGATCCTGATAATGAGTTGCTTTGGAGAAGAATACTGAATGAGCGAGATTTTCAGAAGCCTTTTGGTATTGTCACTAGCCACACGTGGCTTTTTGCATTTAATTAAATTGATAATCTGGTTTCTCAGTGGCATTGGCCATATTTTAAGTGCTACTAGAGCCACATGGAGCTAGCTGCTACCCGGCGGATGGTACAAATATAGTACATTTGTACCATTTCAGAAAATTCTGCTGGACAGCCTCGGCCTGGACCCTATTGCAGAAGGTACTTTTTCCAGGAAAGGGAGGTCTATCGCCTTGGACTATAGGAGCAAGTGACAAGAATCACATGGTGGAGTGTTTGCACACTTCCAGTCCCCCCCCCCACTTCACTTCAGAGTTGTGTTTATTTTTGGTACCACACCACAGCTTGAACTCAGGGGCACTTTGCCACTGAGCTGCATCCCCAGCCCTTTTCATATTTTTTATTTTGAGACAGATTCTTGCTAAGTTGCCCAGGTGGGCCTTGAACTTTTGATTCTTCTGCCTCAGTCTCCGGAGTTGTTGGGATTCCAGGCTGCCACCAGTGCACTTGGTTCACTAGGAGTTTCGATGTACCGAGGTGGGGCTCTGTGCTTAGGCCCCCGGCAGGGCCTGCTGTGTGCCTTAGCTGAGGACCAGAAGCCAGTTAGCTCTGCTCAGCTGTGGCTTTCTTGGGAATTAAAACCATCACGATTGGTGTGAGAAAATAATTTTAAGAGACAAAATTTAGAGTAGATTGATCTTTAAAATCACTTTCTGCTTTATAAATGGCCATCAGGAACGTTGCAGGAGTATCAGAAGAGAATGAGAAAGCTGGATCAGCAGTACAAAGAGAGGATCCGAAACGCAGGTGAGGCTCTGCAGATTCACACCTCGTCATCCCCGCCATGTGGCCCCGAGGGCATCTTCCATATGTATCCTAGACATTTCACTGCTGGGACAGGATGGGGGTGGAGAGACTCTATAAAATTGGTTCACCTTTTTTGCCAGTAGTCACAGGAATCAGTCGGTGGCTTCCTGTAGTCAAGTGGCTCTCCCGGGTGCCCCAAGAGTAGTCTTGCACTTTTTCGCATTTATTTCTGTGGCTGACTTAACAGACAGTCAGAGGGGAAAGGATTGTGGGTCATTTCATACCCACTTAAATGTTTCTTCTGGAGTTCTGTGCTTTGGGGTGGGGAGATGTCCTCTTGTTATTTCCCCAAATATCCTAAGCATTTAGGAGGAGGAGCTTGCTTTTGGTCTGTTGGACGTGGCAAGTGTACTCACTCAGCTTGTCTGTTGGACATCTGCATGGGAGCACCTTGAGCAGCATGAAGTTGTAACACATTGTCCTTGATTTAGGGAACCTGCTGTTTCATTGACAAAAGCTATTCACACGAGTATTAAGGAATAAAGAATCGTGCAGAAAGTAAGATGCGACAACTGTTCTAAATTGTATGAACAATTCTTGAGCTTACAGGAAATTTTTTTTTGTGTGTTAAATTTTAAAGTGCGTCACCAGCCAGCATTCTGAGTGCCAGCAGGTGTTTGTTCCTGTCGTGGAGAAGTAGTTTTGGGTTTTAAAAAAAAGGTCTGAGTGCCACTCCTTGTGCTTTCCTGTTGAGTTCCATCCAGTGACTTTCAAGCTTCCTGTTGTGGAAACCTTTGTCCTCTCCACCTAGCAAGAAGTGTGCGGTGTGCATCAGCAAATAGGAAGGGAGCAGAAGGGGGTGGGTGCTGTGAAAATGGAGCTGCAGCCATTAGCCCTCTGCCCACCCACATCCTGCCTGTCCCCGCTGCTGGCGCTGTCCACTCTGAGTTCCCAGGCGCCTCCTTGGAATAGCATTAGAACCGAAAGCCGTCTTCCTAGGGCTCCCCTTTACAGATGGAGGAGGTGGCATTGTGGAAGGAGAAGGGCCTACGTTCAGGCCTACCCTCATCACGCTTGGTCAGTGCCTTTAAACAGGTTATTGGTTCTTGAAGCCTCAGTTTCCCTGTCTGTAGAGGGGAGTACGGATTGCCCAGAGAATTGGCTTAGGATGTAAATAAAGGAAAGAAAATTGAAGTGAGCCATTTTTCCTAAGCTGGAACAGCAGGGTGAGTATTGAGTTGTTTTTCTTAATTCATGCCGACTCTCAGTGCTGTCCTTGTGTTATTTCGTAAACATCTCTTCCTCCCAGGTGAACGTGCAGAAGAGTTCCTAAATCAGTCATGACTTGAGCTTTAAAAAGCACATTGCATGCAGAGAAAAATCCACCTGCTTTCGTTGTGTCTGGTGTCTGGCTGCTTTAAAACAAGCACCACCAACTTTTAAGTGTTAAGTGTTATTTGACTTGGTTCAGGTTTGATTTCTCGGGTGGCCCAGGACTTGGAAATGTCTGGTCCATTCAGTCCGAAGCAGGCATAGGAGTGAGCATGTTGGGCTAGGTGTGCTTAAGCTGCGGCACCCAGTGACTCCCAGGGCCAAAGTGATAAGGACTTCTGGGGGTCAGAAAACAACAAATGGCCTGTCCCTTTCCTCAGTTAATTGTTTCCATTTAACAGGTTGAGGCTTTTAGTCTGGGGTTCCTGGAACTCTGAAAATTCTAGAACATGTACGAGTGTGCTTTTTTTCTTGAGAATGGATCTATAGAGTATATCAGGTTTGCAAAGGGGACCATTTTAAACGGAAGACGGCAGCCCTGGAGTTACTGGTCCTCCAGCAGTCCTTGTGGACCATATGTAGCAGGTCCACTGTCACCCAGAAAAGTTCAGAGGCCAAAGACCTATTTTGTTTAAAGTAAGGGGTTTGTAGAGGGGCTTACGGGGGATAGGCTGCTGGGTAGACGATTACTACCGCCCGCAGACAGGTGCTGAGTAAGTCACTGGATACTGCTGGGGGTACCTTGAGTGTGTCTGCTGGAGGCTTGATGAGTGAAAGGGCTGCCTTAGATCAGAGCTGGGGAATGTGACTGGGGAGGCCTGGTGGTATCGTTGACAGAGGCATTGGTGTGGGCAGAGTGTAGAGGCCTGAGAGTAAAGTCCCAGAAAGCCCAAGAACCTCTGTTGTCTGGATTCCCCTTGTCACAGAGAGCTTCACACCCCGTGGGACCATGGGCGTGGACTCTGTTCAGGAGTCTTCGTGTTGCTTCTTCCTGGCCTGTCCTGCAGTCTCTGGGACTGAGGGACTGGGAGGGCTGAGTGGAGGGAGGAGTGGCTTATTTAGCAATTTGGTTCCACAGCTGGCTTTGGCCCTCAGGCAGAGCTGCCAGAGCTATTTCTGTTGAGGGCCACATTTTGACGCGACACGGGTGCTGCTTGCGTCTTCCCTTCATGTATATCAGCACTTTACTGATGAAAACATTTGCTTTGTGTAATTTGCTTTCAGAAAGCAATTACTGCTTCTAAATGAATCCAACATCCCTGTCTAAAAAGGTGACACAGCTTCGGGAATCTAATTGCAGTTTTTATCTCTTTCAGAACTCTTCCTCCAGCTGGAAGTGAGTACCACGGGATCCGGGTTTGTAGTCTGAGACTGGAATTTGACTCTGCTGATCTGGTGGCCTTTCCTTCTGTCACCAAGTAGATGGCTTGGAAGCCTTTGCCACCGTTCGGTTTGACCGAAGGACATGTGATCCTGATTAAGATGCTCCGTCTATTCTTTGTTGTTGGGCAGCCTCTGTGCATCACAGGGAACTGGGGACACTCACATTCCACTGCTTTTTTGCTGGCTTTTAGCTTGTGCCAAAGCCCTTTGAGAGTATGTCTGAGTTGTGGTGGACGAATAATTTGTTATTGGTCCTCAGTGCAGCTTCTGAATTGGCTCAACAGTTCCACATACAGCTGAAACTTTCTGGGCCAATAGGAAACATTTTGAATGTTTTCTTTCACTCCACAGAGACCCCAGTGCTGCCGCCACGTCAGGCACAGTGCTGTGTTCAGGATGAGGCTGGGTCTCGGATGTTGTGCTGCTGCTGGTGGGGGGTGCTTTGGAGAAGGTCACGGTTTATCAGAGCTGTATTACTGGAAACCATTGTAGTAACGAAGTCAATTCAGCGCATGCGGCCACAGCCTAGAGGATCACACAGCCCAGACCATGCCCCCTGCAGGCCCCTTGTCACAGCACAGTGGTGAGATAGTAAAAGTGACTGCTTACACAATTTTTCTTAATTTTACTTTTAGTTGTCGATGGACCTTTATTTTATTTGTTTATATGTGGTGCTGAGAATCGAGCCCAGTGCCTCACACATGCTAGGCAAGTGCTCTACCGCTGAGCCCTGGCCCCAGCCCTGCAATTTTTATCTCAACGTCTCTGAATCCTGCAGGATTCAGGCTCCTAATCAATGATCTACTGTACTTGTTCATTTCTCACTGTAAGAGTCGAAACTAGCTTGCAGTCCCACTAACAGTGTATGCATACTCCCTTTTCTCGCATCCTCGTCCACGTTTGTTGTTACTAGTTTGTGTCTTCGGGCCATTATATTGTGTAAGTAATTTTCAAGATAGCTACTTCATTTGGAATAAACTATTTTCCTTAAAATTATGACTTTAAAAGGGATTATTTACTGTCCTTAAGAAACTTATGTTGTATTAACATAAAAGCTATAAAATTTGAGGCGTGAGAGAGGGGAGTTACCTCATAGCAAGTGTGGATACTGACATGCGAGTGGTGGTCTTGTGTCCTCCCTCCCCCCTCCCCGGGCCTTGCCCTCAGACCCCCTTTGCTCTCGTGTATCTCACTGACACACGAGATACCACTTGTATTTCTGGGGAAGGGGTTTTCTTTGCTGTTGAGGACAGAGCTGGACTTCGAGTTGGAGCCCTGGATGCCTGGCTGTGTCCCCCCTAGCCTGTGTTTCTCTTTTACTCAGACCGAGCAAGTGGAAAGAAATTACATTAAGGAAAAGAAGGCAGCAGTGAAAGAATTTGAAGACAAGAAGGTTGAGCTGAAAGAGAACCTAATTGCTGAACTAGAAGAAAAGAAGAAAATGATTGAAAATGAAAAGCTAACAATGGAACTGACTGGAGGTATGAAACCCAAGGGACGGGATAATAATCCTTGGGGACCCTGAGGGCCCTGGTTGGGTGCTCTAGTGACTACGTAGGTCTCAGACCTCCAGAGGAGAGCGCGGGGAGGAGAGTAGGTTTTGACATCTCGGATCAGAGTTCTGGCTGCACCTTATGTTGGCCGTGTGACCTTCGTCAAGCTCTTCCCCACGCCATAAGGTGAGGCTGATCGAATCTCGTCTCATAGTATTGTGGGTAGAAATACAGGTGCCTAACGTAGTGACCTTTGCATGACAGGTGTTCAGTAAATGGCAGACCTTTAATAGTAATCGCACGCTCTGGCTTGTGCTTTACTTAATGCCTGGGTTGGCTGTCATTTGGTGGTCTTCCTGAATCACTTGCCCCCGTCCACCTGTGGTGATGGGGGCACTCTCTCTGCTGTTTTTTTCAGTCACCTTAATTACAGCAAGGGCATTATATTCCTTTGACCTCGATGTGAGAGCAGTGGCTCTGGGCTGTATCATCTGTGCTATTAGATCTCTGCCCTCAGGTGTTAGTGTTCAGAAAGCGCTTGTGCCATTCCAGCAGGGTAGCTAAACTTAACTCTTCTCTTGTAAAGGGAGTGAAGTGCCAGTTCCTCCCTAGCCTTCTAGGATTTAGTGATCTGCATATGGGAGCTCGGCAGGTTGGAGGCAAGTTTCAAAGAGAAGCAATATGGCCGACTCTTCTGTTGCCATATGTAGTCTGATGAGTCTTAGAAGGATGCGGGGAATTGGCATGAGCCGCCTATTTTGAACCTGGCAAATACCACAGAGCAAGTCAGCAGTGAGTTTGTCACCTGGGTACAAGTAGGTGGCATGCCTTCTGCACACCCCAGAATTTAACTTTCACAGTCATTTTCAGAAGGTCCTGGTGCTCTACCAGGTCTTATTTTAATGGGGTTCCGTAGGAAGTACAGTGTTTGTACGGAAGTCCTCTGAGCTGACTTGAAACAATGTAACCAGTTAAGAAGTAATCTCCCTATATATTTTGGGTTCTATGAACCAGCTTGGTCCTCCAGTTGACACAGTCTTTTGGCTCCAGTCCCCATGATACCCTGATGAGAATGAGACTGTGTCTGGAGCTGGAGGGGGTCCGACTTGTGACAGATCTCTCCTCTGGTGGTTTCCTCAGTGAGAGACTTGGCAAAAGGAGCGAGTTCCTTGAAGACCTCTGAAAGTAGCTCAAAAATGCTTTTTTGTGTGTGTCGTTTTGGCAAGAATACATGTGAAAACAGCATCTTCAGACAGCGCTGTCTTGTTCCTGTTGAAATGCTTTTTTAATTAGATGGCTAGCACTGCAGTGCCCTGTCTGGTACCAGTCTGCTTGCCTGTTTCCTGACCCACACACTGTTTTCTTTGATGGTGGCTGTGACTGGCATTGATGCCTCATCGCTCTCTGCTAGAGCTACCAGATGCTCGGGAGTCTTCATTAGGCTAGTGGGAAATATTGTCCGTTTATAGCTGCTCCCTTTCCATCTGCAGGGAAGGGTATTATCACCTTACCTGTGATTTGGCATCCTAATTATTGACAAGCAATGGACATTATTTAGCCAGCTAGTTTTACAGCCAGAATCTTAGCTGGGGCAGGAGACATCCTCAGTGACTTGAAGCAGAACCTGCAAGGGTAGAGAAGACAAATATATGCAGTGAAATCATTTGTAACACACACACACAAAAATTATAGAAGTGTCTAAAGCTAGCCATGAGCATCAATGGTGCTGATGTCCTTCCTCAAGCCATTTGGTACCCTTGGTATGGAAAGTGCTGCCAAGGTAATGATAGGTGTGGAAAGAAAAGGCACTGGAGCTGGGAGGATAATGAGCTCTCCACAGATGGTGCTGCTATGGTGCTGGATTAAAGGCTGATTTCCTCCCTCTAATTGAGTGACTTACTTCACCTTGGTGGATTGATGCCCAATATCAGTGGTGCCCAGCACTGCCCAGAAAAGACATTTCTTAAAGTCTCCTTTTCTGTTTCAACGTGAAGATCTCTTTAAAACAAAGCAGGAGGATCACAAGTTCGAAGCCAGCCTCAGCAACTTAGTAAGGCTGTATGCAACCTAGTGACACCCTGTCTCAAAATAAAATTAATAAAAATAAAAAGGGCTGGGGATGTGGCTCCGTGGGTAAGTGCCCTTGGATTCAATCCCCAGCCCCCCCCACCCTCCCCAAGAAAGTAGAATAAGAGGCTGATGAGATGTGAAGCTTTGTCCCAGGAACCCATTGAAAATGGTTGTTATCCAGTGGCATGGGAGCCGTCACAGCCTTCCTGGGAATAGCAGAAGGTACTCTCGGAACCCAAACCTCTTGCGGAGAACTTCGGAAATCTGGGCTGCGGGCCACGTGGTGTACCGCGGGTGGAGAAGCTCCAGGACGCTTGTCTGTCACTGCTGCTGCTGCCTCAGTGTGCACCTGGGTCTTGATGGGCAGACTCTGTTTCAGGCAGACAGGGGTAAGCACTCAGCTGCCAGGGCTGCCGAGGATGCTGGTCTTCCCACACTTTGAGTAGTGAGGTTGTAGATAAAATTACCTGAGAGTGAGTTTTTTCTAATGTTGAGGCAAGATTATAAGTAACCCACTCAATCAATGAGAACCTAATGAACTTTGAAATGTGTCATACTTAATTCATTTTTCTTCTTGTCATAGAGTAGTCTCCTTTTCTCCCTTCTTCCAACACCTTGCTAACTGCCACTTCATTTTCTGTTGTAAGTTCTTGCTCACCAGGGACTTCTTTGAACCCTGAGGCCCCTGTGGAAGCTACTCAAACCTCATTAAAACCTGTGAGTTTCTTTTGGAAAAAACTGGATTTAGCCAGGCACGGCGGTGCATACCTGTAATCCCAGCCACTCAGTAGGCTGAGGCAGGAGGCTTGCAGGTTTGAGATCAGCCTGGGCAACTTTGCAAGACTGTCTCAAAAAAAAAAAAAAGAAAGAAAGAAAGAAATAAAGAAAGGACTGACATATAGCTCAGTGGTTCAAGTACCACTGAGTTCAACCCCCAGAACTGACCCCACCCCCCGCAAAATACTAGATTCATAACTAGTACATGATTCATTATGATGTCAAATTAGAAGTCTCATTTTCTGAGTACTTATCCAGTGAGGCATTGTGTAAAAACCTTAGAGCTACCTACCGCTGCAGGCTGACAGACCTGGGGGATCCTGGCTTTGTCCGCTAACTTAGTTGAAGTGGGAGTTCCTTCTTCAGTAAAGAGGTGATAGAACCTGTTATGGGGAGAGGGCCAGAGAGGAGGTGAGGTGTGCTTGGGAAAGTGGCTGGCAGGACTTGGGAAGTACAACCCATTTAGTTTGGGTAGCTCTACTTGGGTGTCATCATCCTGAGTTTACAGATGGCAGAGCTGACTCAGAAGTGGAGCCATTTGCTCAGTCCCCCGCAGAGCTAGGTAGTGCTGAAGCCAGGATTTGTCTGGCTGCAAGTGGATTCTCTTAACCACCATATTATACTGACTTTTCCTGGTAACAGTACATGTGACTGTAAGTGAATCACAGAATTTGGCTGATGGGTAAGGTCCCTGTACTCAAGGGGCTTATGTTCTGATAGTAATAAAACCGACACAGCCTCCACGTCTTTCCCAGCGTAAGGTGGTTTGGAGAGAGAGGGCCCCCAAACGAAGGTAAAGATTTGACCGAGTGATTTTAAAACTGTAAGGTAGTGTGGCTGGACTGTGCAGGAGGGGAGTCTCCTACAGTACACAGAGATGCCAGTGAGGAAAGACCTGAGTCAAGGCCAGGGGACGAGGTCCTGCACAATACCTGGCAAGGGAGAAGGGAGGAAGAGACTTGGATTTGGGGTGGGGTGGGGTTCTCCTTGGAACATTCTTTCTGCTGCTGACTGTGGAATCCAGGGTGTTCTGGTGGTTGAGACGCAAGGAGGAGGGCTCAGTTGGTTCGCTCTTTAACTGTCATCCCTTCCTTGTGGGCAACTTTGGCCTAATGGAGGTTGGTCCCTTAATTCCTATTCTGATTTGAATTGCAAGGAGCTGACCTTGATTCTCTTTTTGACCCTGGGGAATGAACCCAAAGGTGCTCCACCACCGAGCTCATCCATGGCCCTTTTATTTTTATTTTAATTCAGGATCTTGCTCAGTTGCTGAGGGTCATGCTAAGTAGCTTAGGCTGGTCTCAAACTTGCCATCCTGCTGGGATTGCAGCCAGGTGCCACCATGCCCAGCTTCTGACCTGGATGGTCATTGCATGTTCTCACCTCCCGTTTGTCTCCACCACGGCAGCACTGATTTGTGACCCCAGGGTGAGCCTGTCGAGGGGCAGGGGTGTGCTGGGCCTCAAACTGACCCCGTGTTGCGATGCCCCTGGTTTGGAGGGGTTGCCAATCGGCTGCAGGTTTGCTTGCAGTGACTTTTCTTCCTACCACACACATCTTGTTTCTTATGGATCCTTCTTTGAATCACTGCCGCTCATTTTCCCCCCAATAGCTGAACAGATATGAGCTTGTTTTTTCCTAAATTTTTGTTTTTAATTGACACATAATTGTACATGCTTATGGGTGCAGGGATATTTTGATACGTACATTGACATTGGGTAGTACTCACATCAGGTCATAAGCATGTCCATCAACTCACACTATCTTTTCTTTGTGCTAAGAACATTTAAAATCTGACATTCTGGTAGCTGTTTTGAAATGCTCCATATAATATTGTTAATCGTAGACGCCTTATTGTGCAGTAGGACCCCAAAACTTATTCCCCTGTCCAGTTGGAGCTTGGTGATGCCCTCCCCTGCGCTACGCTGCTTCTTGAGGTCAGCTTCTTCAGATTCCACCTGAGTGAGGTCCGTAAGAGCTTGTTTTAGTGGTTAGGCTGTATTAAAATGAAGCTTTTATTGCAGTTGAATGCTGTAGGCAGGTGAGTTGTTGGAAATGAGTGAACAGGCCTAAGAAAGTGCAGAACAAGAGGCCAGTCAGTAAACTGGTAATCACATGTCAATTGCAGGAAATGATTGTCAGGGATCTCTCCCCATAGGGACTGTGTTATGATGATTGTGCCTACCTCTAATCCAACCTGTGCTCCCGTTTCTTAGCAGGCAGGCCCGGTGCTACCCAGGTGGGTGTGGGGATGCCTGTGTTTGTCAGGTTTTCTGGTGAGCAGAGCTCTAGGAGTTGTGCTATTAAAGGTCCTTTATGGGGTAGTGTGGAGAGGAATGGTTCCCACATAAACTTCCCCCAAGACTGGCTTGATTGTTAGATGTTCTGTGAGATTCTACAGATAGTATCCCCTCTCAAGCAGATCTTTGAAGAGTCCTCTGGATCAGAGACACTTTTTAATTTTGGCCATTTGGAGGTGTTTTGGGGTTGGTGCTCGGTGTCTGAAATTCCCTGCTCAGGGATCTTCTCCAGGGTGGTCAGAGTCCAGGATCTGAGCTTCACTTCCGGAAGCTGGAGTTTCATCAGTGTCCTCAGCTTGAACCCCTAAGATTCTTATCGACTGAACTCGTTGGAGGCTGGTGTTGGAAACTCAGTAAGCCCTCTGTTGCATACTGTAGAAATAGAACTGACAGGTAGATTCAGGCCCTGCTGGCCAGGCCAGCCCCTCTCCTTTTTTGAAAAATTTCAAAGACAACTAAGCAAAGCTGGGATTGGAGCAAGGTGACTTGGTGGAGTGTGTCTTATTGGAGTTGTGATGCGTAGCTTGCTCTCTCCATTAATCACTTCCTCATGGCCACCGGCCAGCACTGCCTTCTGCTGTCCCCCCTTTCCTAGGTGGTGTGAGAGACTTGCTGATGGATTTTAGGGCTTCTCCAGAGCACCCTGGTTCTGCAGGGGTGGTCTTGTATGGAATTCATCAGGTCACTGCCATGACCAGGCTAATACAGTGGAGCTATTTTCACATTTTACAAGAAGAATTTGATTGTATTTTCTGATTTGTGCCTGATGCCTTTATGATTTTCTGAGTTTAGTGGCCTGATTGAACTGCTGTCCCCTCGGCTCCCCCTTTCTCTTGGCTTCTTTCCATTGGGTGCTGTACACCCTCCCCACGCTGCAGTCTGGGCAGCCCGCAGAGCAGGGTGCACTCAGCCACTCTCTGGTGGACAGGATGTTCCCTAATGTTCATGGGCTGCCTCCTCCTTTCTCTGGCTCGCTTTGGGTTGGGTTCTTTTCATACTTTGGTTTCCAAGTTAGGTCTGCGTGTTGAAAGCCTCACAGCGGATACTGCTGCTTGGTGTAGTGGGTGGCTTCTGTTTGACTGTTTGCACCTTGTCTTTTAAAAAAGATCTCTGTAATTTTTTCCTCCTTGAAATATGATAAGAAGAGCCAGCCTCCTTTCAGTTCTTGTCACCTCAGGCACTGTGCTCAGGGCTTCTCCTGTGTCCTCTCATGCAGTCGTCATGGTGCCCCACGAGGGAGGACGTGCTGGTGTTTCCATCCTTTTGTTGAGGAGACTGGGGACTTGGAGCATCTACACAGCCCGCTTCTGGGTGCTTGGCTGCTGCAGGGTCTCAAGCCCATTTAGGATAGTAGCCCTGCTCCTGTGATAGTGCTGTGCCACCAGCCAGCGAGTGAGTAAGAGGAGAAAGGTGGCATCTGAACAGAGAGTAAGGACTTTCTTTTAGGAAGAAAGCTTCCCCCTCCCCAGGGGTGTGGGTGCACATCCTCTTCCTTCTTCCCCCATCTCATTAGGCCAGGGTTCCTATATCACCTCCATTCCACTACAGGAAAAAATTCAGTGTCACCCATTTCTTTTGAAGAGCAGCAAACTGAAACGCTTTTGACTCCTCACTCTAAGGCCCTGCACCCTTATCTCATGATCGTTCTGATCATTCTGAAGAAGACTTTGTGCTGACTCTGCTGTGTGCCAGGACTATTGCTAGGTGCTGGGGCGGAGACGGATTTCACGCTGTGGCGGAATCCCAGCATCTGATGGGGAGCAAGTTCCACATGGTGTGGCACTTGGTGCGCTGGAGGGTTGCACAAATGCCCTGGTACCGGGGAGAGGGAGTGAGCAGGTCACAGGAGGGACTACTGAGCAGGCCCACATCTTCTTCTCTGTCAGAGAGAATGACAGCACAAAGCCTTGATGGCCTGAAAGTGTCACGTCTTCGGATAACTGATGCTTCTGAGCCCTGGAGAAGAGGCAGACTGGGAGGGGAAACCAGAAAGGGATGGGTTTGCCTGGGGCCTGAGAGGGTAGGGTTGGATGTGGCTTGCCACTGAGAGGCCTGGGGAACTGGGAGTGGTGGGTGAGGATTCACTAGGGACCCTGGAGATGACCAGTGTGTAAGGAATAGGCCAGGAAAAAAGGACCCCCAAAGGAGCAGATCAGCAGGGGTTTGGGTGACTGGGGCTAAAGGGTAGAGACTGCGTAGTGTGGGGAGTCAGGGGCCACGTCGGCTGGGGAAAGTCAAGAAGAGTGAAAAGAGTCTTTGGAATGTGCCTTCATGTATCATTTTTGAAGTCAAGTAGCCATCAAAGGTTATAAAAGAAAAAAGTTTTAAGTTTGTAAATAAAGACTTACTAAAAAATGCTGGCATCGAGGCCAGTGGCCTTAAAAGAACCTTTTGTGCTAGTGGCTGCGCACATCCACCCTCTGGGACAGCGGCAATCAGTCCCGTGAGGTGATGGTGAGGTTCCTTCTCTTCCCAAGAGTTCACAACTCTGGCTTCCTAATTTGAGTGAGAGGAGCAATTGTTCCTAGATTTTTTTTTTTTTTTTTTGTCGATGGACCTTTATTTTATTTATGTGTGTGTGTGGTGCTGAGAATCGAACCCAGTGCTTCACACATACTAGGCAAGTGCTCTGTCACTGAGCCTCAGCCCCAGCCGTATAACCCCTAGTTTTTGAGGGTGCTGGGGAGATTTCTACAGTGGCCATAATGTTAGACTCCAGGGCTGGATTTCTGGGAGGGATGTGGACCTAGTACTGCTGGTTTGAATTTCACATGCACAGACCTTTTTTAAAGTCTGATGTGGGTGTCTGGCTTAGGCCAGGTGTAGATGGGACATCTGAAGTAAAGTGATTCTGATTGGGTGGCCTAGGGCAGATATTCTTACACTGTAGGAATTCTTACTGACCTCCAGTGGGAATTGGATATATTGACCCATTCCGTTTTTGCCATAGATTCTATGGAAGTGAAACCTATCATGACCAGAAAGTTGCGGAGGCGACCAAATGATCCTGTCCCCATCCCAGACAAGAGGAGAAAACCTGCTCCCGATATCCATTTGCTTCAAGTTTCAATCACTTCTTTTTCCCTTAAGACTATAGACTCTCTTATTGATCCATCTGATAGAGTATATGTGGGCATTGTCCTGCAGAAAAAAATATTTGGTGGAAAAGCATATGTAAAATTTTTATGACTGGGTCTTGACTGGCCATTTTGATATTGGAGTCCTCAGCTGCTACTTCTTTTAGTGGGAGATGTTTATATCAAGGTATCATTTGGAAAGATACTTTATGTCCGATGTTGAACCTGGTTTTAACACTTCAAGATTCAAGGGCAGTTGAAAACTTGATGTGTGTTAATTTTTCTACCTGTCAAATGAGGACAGTAGTATCAGACTTTGGGTATCTCAGTTACCCCATCCCTAAAATAGTGAGTTGCAAACTGTTTTTAAATGAAAGCAAATGATATTTTAATCAACACAACAAAGTTCTTTAATTTTAAAAATGGTTAATGGGAATGGGACACATGAAGAAAAGTGTTTTTTCTATTCAAGAGATAATAAATTACAGGCATGTGGCTCATTCATGTAATCCCAGTGACTAGAGAGGCTGAGGCAGGAGGATCACCAGTTCAAAGCCAGCCTCAGCAACAGCTAGATGCTAAGCAACAGTGAGACCCTGTCTCTAAATAAAATACAGAAAAAGGCTGGGGATGTGGCTCAGTGGTCAAGTGCCCCTGAGTTCAATGCCCAGTACTCTCCCTAGCCTCCCCCCCCCAAAAAAAAAAGAGATCATAAATGGATGTTTTTTCAGAATGGTTTGGTCATTTCACTTGTCTGCCACCAGGAAAGGACATAACTTCAGGTCCCTTCACCTTTATAACAGAATTTTAGTTGCTGTGGAAAACTAATCTGTGTGTGTGTGTGTGTGTGTAAGTGTGTAAGTGTAAGTCTCGAGACATTTGGAACAAAAGCACTTTATAAATTTGGGACACAGTTGTTTTCTATTTTCTGTGCTCTCGCTGTTGTTGTAGAGACCTAATGAGTCTTATTCTACCTCCTCCTAGTAGTTTGTAAGGTGGGGTGTGTGAATTCTTCAATATACTTGGTCACCATGACATTTAGCTCGAGAGTCAGCTTTCTGAGAAATAAGTTATTGCAAAAATGTCATTCTGAATAGTCATACCTTGTCAGTTCTGAACTACTGGTACCAGTTTGTTGATTTCTGTTTCCTTGGAAACCATACATGTTCGGATGCATTCCATTAACTCTCAACACCTCAGCTAAATTATTTGTTAACAGACGAACAGATCATGGAGGATCTGAGAACATTAAATAAGGTACATTTCTATTCATTTATTTGAAAGCTCAGGCTTGACATGGTTTCTTCACTATGTTCACATGATACTTGTTGAGTCATTATGAAACCTCTGACACCTACAGTTATCCAAATGATTTTCTCTAAGATTTTTTTTTGTTGTTGTTCTTCCTACAGCTTAAGTCACCCAAGAGACCAGGTAAGTGCTTAATGTTATTGACATTTGTACGATCTTTTTATCATGTTGTTGGAAAAGCATGTGAATACCTGTCAGGGAATTGTTGCAGTTTTCAGAAGTAAAGTGTTTGTCATTTGCCTGTGAGTGAAACTGAAGGGAATCTTAAGTGTACCTCACCCCGCTTTATTTTTTCAGCCTGTTATTTTTGTCTTTTCCTTGGGATTTATTATAAAAATAGACATTTGATCAGCTGTTAAAGGTTTCCTTCTGTGTAGGCATTAGGCACGAGATTAAAGTTTCCAGTTTTGAAAATGAAACCAGAGAATTTTTCAGTATTCCTTACTTTCTGGAATTAAGTCCTAGGTATTGCTATACCAGTGACTTTTCATGGCCTGGCTCTCTGGTAAGGCTGTGCCAAGTTCCTAGGTATAGATGAGGCCAAGGCCCAGTCACTGTTCACAGTGATACCTTCCAGAGCAGCACATGAAAGTCGATGCTAGTTGCAAACTGGAATTCTAAGTTAGCAATGTCTTTTCTTGTACTAAGTGCTGTGATAAGTCACACGTTCCTCTACTTAGTCTTGTGGAAGAAAAACCCAGATTCTTCTTTCTCTAGATAATGTCTTCCTGTGGGCCCCTGTAGTCCACAGAGAAGTCCTGAGCTTCTGAGGCATGATGGGGAGGGTTATGTGAGTAAGTATGTACATTTAGATCATTTAAACCTACTTTATCTCTAAAAATGATTTAATTTTTAAGAGATTGTCATGATACTTGCCCTTTTGGGCTTCTGATGGTCATTAGGATTTAATCCACCTCTAAGTGGTCTTGTGCATTGGTGCATTTGACCTTGGCCTTCCTAAGCCTCCAGTTTCTCCTCTGTTCAGTGAGGTTAATCTGTGCCCTGCCTATCTCTGGGAATGTTTTGAGGACAAAGTTTGGTGTGATGTATAAGAATTTTGTTTGTACTGATCAGGTGTCCACACTAAGGTCTGCATCAATGTGGTGACCTCCCAGGAGTGCACATGTTGATCAGTACTGGGGGTCTCGCCTGTGCACAGCCACTGTACTCTAACCTGGGCAACATAGTGAGACCCCATCTCTTTAAAATGTTTTTTTGTGTGTTTAATTCCCAGGAGTTATCACTGTAAGAACTTGATGGTGATGACTGTCACCACACCCTAATGTGTCTCAGTTAAAGGATGGTAGCTGGTGGTCGTACACGTTTGTTGCACGCTTAGTCATTTAACTGTCTCTGGCTCCTCTAGCATCCCCATCCTCTCCTGAACACTTGCCTGCGACCCCTGCGGAGTCTCCAGCCCAGAGATTTGAGGCTCGGATAGAAGATGGTAAACTGTATTATGATAAGAGATGGTAAGTCGTGAGAAAACAGGGACTACTCCAAAGAGCCATCCTGGGGCTTCCTGTGGTGGTTTCAGAGCATGCCTGCTACTTAAATTTTTAAATGGGATTCCACTTTTCGTCCTGTGTGTCACCAGCCGTTTGATAGACCTCTGTTAGGTTTCTGAAGACTGTTTCCCAAAATGTGGGTGGCGGTCCCCTTCCTCTCCGTGCTACTGTCATCACACTAGAATTTTAAGCCTAATTTTTTTTTTTTTTGCAGTGTCCCTGGCCCGTGGAGCCAGGGTACACGTTCTGTTCTGCCTCCTATTAACTTTGGTCCTATGTGCTAAGGTTAATAGGTGTTCTGTGGATAGAAGATTGTGGTCATATCGGTTTAGGGATGATCATGTTAATTAAGATAAATGAGTTCCCTTCTTATCGCACTCTCTGGGTCTTGTCACATGCTAATGTGCGCTGTGAATTTCCAAGATGTTATTGGGTGGTTTTTATTTGACAGCTGTACTGTTTTCTCATGCATTATTCTGCCAAAGTGTTCCAGGAAACTTTCTTAGGGGAATTGTATCCTAAAACCTGACTCATTTAGATTGAAGACTGTTGAAACCTTTAGACTGCCAGTGTTTTTCATTGGAAAGGAAATGGCAAAGCAATAGCGTAGAACCTTAAGAGCTCATGCATTTATTCATTCAGCCAGCCTCGCGTGAGGTGTCCACTGGGCGTTGGATCACCCTGGACCCTGCCATCTTCTCGGCTCTTTTGACTCGGAGACAATATTTCTTCCTATTTGTTGTCCCTCTGCAGACAGCCTCTTACTCAGCTCAGGTTATAGGTATTCTTGTAGTTGGTTCTATCGAGAGTCTTTTTCTCAGTCCCTCTGTGCCCTCTGGAGTTATCATTTTTAATGGCTAGTAATAATGCCGAGTTTTAATACTTTTGTGTAGCCAGAAGTTCCAAAGATCAGGCTAGTGGTTGTTTTGACTTTTTTGACTGTGTTTGTTTGTTACTAGGCATTGAACCCTGGGTACTCTATCCTTAGCACTTTTTATTTTGTACTTTGAGACAGGGTCTTGCTAAGTTGCTTAGGGTCTCAGCTCCTGAGCTGCTGGGTTATAGGTATGCGCCACCATGCCTGGCAACTTTTTTGAGTTTTATATTGCTTTATGTTAGTTGATCACAATACAATATTGAATACACATTTCTCTGTAACCACGGTGGGGATTGGTTCCAGGAACCCCCTCAGATGGTCAGGTCTCTTAAATCAAGTACTATAGAATTTGCATATAACCTAAATCCTTCCTCCTCTTTATTTTAAATCTTCTCAGGATGACTTATAATACTTAATATCAATGTTGTGAAAGTAGTTGTTACAATGTATTATTACAAGAAAAAAAATGTTCATTCCATACACAGTGTTGTTGTTGTCGTCCCCCCTCCCCACCCCGAAATATTTCTGATCTGTAGTTGATTGAAACACGGGTGTGGAACCTGCAGAACTAGAGGGTTAAGTGTTCTTCAAAAATGCTTGGAGATCTGGTCATGCCTGAAATAAATCATTTCCACCTAGTAAATAACAGTGAGTCAATTACCTAGCAGATGAAGGAGGCTTGCTTTGTCTGTAAGCCTGACCTTGGTGACTTCTGCCCCTGTAATTTGGCTGTTCTTGGGCATTCTTCAGTTGGTGTGGTATCTTACGTTGCTCATCAGAACGTATCACCACTAGGTGGCAGGCCCTAGCTGCTCATCACAGCGGGTCAAGATGAGATGAAAAATGTTTCTAATAATGAAAACCAAATAACCTTTAAAGATCAAGCCCACATATAGGAACCGCCTTTGAAAATGATGAGATTTATCACTAACATTTTTACGGATCTATGAGTCTTAAAGCCATGTGATATTTCAAATGATGTTCATTTTATAATTACGTTGCTTCAGATCTTTCTCTTTCTTGACTTAATCCTTATGACTTTATGAGATGTGTCCTGAGGGTGAAGATGTAGTAAAATAAAATGCTTGTTTTTTTTTTTTTTTTTTTTTTTGGCGAAGACCTCCAGTGACTGGTGTTTCATAATGTAAACAAAGTGATTGGGCTTGATGATGTGTCAGAACTACTAAGCAGTGTGAAGGAATTTTCACCACCCTGCTCATGTTAGCAGAAGACATTTGCAGAATAATGTCTCTGGAAGTGTTTTACTTTTTCAGTGAATTTTTAGTTACTCATTCTGCTGTTAAATATATTTTGGGAATGATGTTTTCTTCATTATTCTGTGTGTTTTTCTTCTTTGGCCTTGGGAGTCAGAGTTCATGATGAATCCCTTTTTTCCCTGAGACTTGGTGAAAGCTTTCACAGGGCTTTTATATCCTTTTTTATCTTTATTGCAGACACAGCCCATGGTGGAGAGATCAGGTGAATTTCTTGCATGCTGTGTCCAGTGGCATGGCATATTTTGGTATAACGGTATTATTGGCAAAACATGTTTCATTGAGTTTTAAATGACTTTAGCAAAATAAGTCTTGAGTCAGGCTTCCCATCTTGGCATGAACACTTATCAAACTACATTTCATTTTGAAAGATAAGCATCTTCTCTTTGCCTGGTCTTCAGTTGAGATTAAGGCCTTTGCCTCCCATTTTGATCTGGACTAATGACCCCTCTCAGGAGATACTGTGGAGTAGCTGTTATTTTAAATAGCTAACTGCTGGTGCTGGAGCTGCTAATGTGAATCATAAATGAAGTCACCACTTGCTCAAGTAGACTTCACCCTCCAGCTCTCAGTTAACTCCGAACAGTGAATATTTCCAACAGGCGTTGGGACCCCTGGAGGTTCTATAGCTGTGATGTGGGAAGTGAAGTGTTAATGTCAGGATTGCTCGTAGATTCAGAATCCAATTACTTCCCACCTTGCTCCACTTTCAGATCTACCTGCTAAAGAAATTGCTTTCTTTCAAAATAGTGGTATAGTCATTCTAGTTCGTTGGGTTTAATAGTAGAGGCACAGAGCTTCAAGAGCTTAATTGTTGGGATTCCCAGATCAGAATTTTCATTAGTCAATTTGACATTTAGGTTCTATTCTCTGAGGTTGTTTAAGAATTTTTTTTTTTTCTCAGCAGGTGAGTTGTATCGTGTAAAATGGGCTAACTGGCAAGAGAAGACGTACATTTTCACTAAATTAGTTCTGTTGATAACATTAACATTTTTTTCTAAATTTATTTTGAATTTGTTTCCCCCTTTATTAGTTTTTAGAAATTGAAAAGTAAATTTATACGTTAAGGCTATCTTTTTTTTTTTTTTGTTTTTGTTTTGGTTTGTATTTAAAAACCCTAGAATTTTTAGAGAATTCAAATAATTGAATAGGTTTGCTATCTGGGGTTAATGATTCCCAGAGACCATTGTGTGGTGCATGAGAATCCCCCGAATGTCCTGGAGACTGGGGTCAGTTGATTTGGAAGTTGGCTGCTCTGGGAAGCGTGCTGGCTGGCCAAGCACCACCGTGGAGTGAGAGACCAGAGATGTTGGCCACGCTGCCACCTTCACTCCTGATGTTCACTGTTGAGGGTGTTAGATGTTTGGGTTCTAAGCGTAATTGAAGGAAAATACAACACATCTCCTGAGAACTGTTTGAATGGTGTTACAGAATTAACTGTTTGACAGAGTTTCCTAACATTTTCTTTTTGCTCATCCATCTTATTTGTTTCTAATACCATAACTTATATTATTTTTTTAAAATATAAATAATACTTGCTTATCCTAAGAAAAAGAAATACATTTATCAATAAAAAATAACATTCTTCATTTAGTGTTACATTTTTATATGCATTTAATATACATTTTAATTTGTGAATTTACCATTTTTTTCTTTGTGTATAGAGTGCACATCAAACGTGTGTTTTATTACAAACAAAGGAACAAAGGGGACTTTTTTTTTCACTTGGCTTTATATTGAGCACATTTCCTCCTTACCATAACCTTTCTGTGTGTGTACTGGGGGTTGAACCCTGACCTCATGCATGCTAGGCAAGTGCTCTACCATGGAGCTAGGCCCCCAGCCCTTGACCTTTCTTCATTAAAGTGTTGAGAAAGTAGAATCAGAATGGCTTGAGGCTAGTTGCATTTTGTTATGTGTTTCTCTTTAATACCTCATAATCCTCATAGGATAACTGAGTATTCTTCTGATTTTTATTCAAACCATAATTCAAGACATTGCTGTTTACGCATGAGAGTTGGCTTAAATGTGGGAAAGAAACCAAGGGAAGTTTTTGTGTTGTGGATCATTCAGCCTTTCCTCATGCATTGTATAATTTGATCTTGTGATATTAACTGTTTAGCATAACGAAGGTCCTTTGACCCAGTTTACCAACTAATACATGACCAACGGCAACTTTATGTCTTGGATCTCACCCTGTCTCACTGTTGTAATTGCATTTATGATTTATTTTCTTTTAACAATGTTTTCAGAAAGTGAATTGACTTGGAAACCTGAGTTTTCAGCTCTTAAGTAGCAGGTTAAAGAGCACTTAGAACCTAGATTGGAAAGAGCTCACTGTGGGAGAGAAGTACAGCCTTTACTGAGATAGCTTGGCAGTAGATTATTTCATTATACCAGCAAAATAGAATCTGCCTTCTTCCTCCAGAGGGATAAGAAGACACAGCGCTCTGCTGGGAGATGTGTTTTGGTGGAATGTACAAGAATTTGTGGATCTTTTTAGCTGGACGTATGTAGCCAGCATGAACCAAAGATTATGTTCTTGATTCAAGTGGAGCCAGCCCGGGCAGGCCTGCCCGCAGCGGGTCAGCTGATATATCCAGCTCTTGCAGTCTGCTCTTCCACCCCAATGTCCTGCTGGGTTTGGTCCAGGCTTCGTACCTTCCATCCTCGGCCTTGTCCGTCAGTTGGAAGTGGCCCTGTGCGACAGTAGGCCAGGAGAGTAGTGGTGGGGGCCGGAATGGGGGCATATGCCTTACCTATTCCATTCACAGCAGCTTTCCCTACTGTCTGGGCCAGATCGATGTCCCTTAGCAAATGTCAGGACAACCGGCACTTCACCTAATGAGCATTTGCAGGTGTGGCACTTGATCTTCCCTCTCCCACTGCACTTGAAGCTCTGTAACAGCAGGGACCTGAGGCCCGTGCACTGTCTGCTCCATCCTCTGGCATAGTCAGTGTTGCATAGTCAGAGCTTAATGAGTATTTTTTTTTTTAATATATACTTTTTAAGATGTTGATGTACCTTTATTTTATTCACTTATTTTTAAAAATTTTTTAAAATATTTTTTTTAGTTGTAGATGGACACAATACCTTTATCTTATTTATTTATGTGATGTTGAGAGTCTATCCCAGGGCCCCACACATGCCCGTAAATGCTCTACCACTGAGCCACGACCCCAGCCCCTTAATGATTATTTTTGAATGAATGACTAAAGAAGGGCTGAGTTCATCCAACCTTCTTGTTGATGACTAATTTGGACAAATACGAAATAAATGACAGATGTTTAAGCCCATGTATTTATTTTGTCCAGACAGTGGGAACAGAGGGCTGTACTTCAGTGGCAGAGAGTTTGCCTAACAAGTGTGAGGCATGGGTTTGATCCTTAGCACCACATAAAAATAAACAAAATAGTCACTCTGCCTCTCTATCACTATAAAGTGGAAACAGAGATATTTTACCTCAAAATTTTTATTTTGCTTTTTGAACTGGGTTATATAGTCCAAATCAAAAAGTAAATTATATTCTGACCTCATCCCCCTTTCCTCTTTTCAGAGGGGCCAAGGAACTTAAGTTTTAGATCCAGAAGATTAGGAGGTCACCCCGTCCAAGGATGGAAGTCTGTAAATGACACCTGGAATCCAGGCTCTCAAGTCATTCTGTGGACTCCTGCATTACATTTCTTACAGTGATAGCGTTTTGTTTTGTCTCCCCCCTCCACCCCGTCCTTTTCACATTGTGCCCTGTTTTTGACAGGTACCACAAGAGCCAGGCCATCTATCTGGAGTCAAAGGACAACCAGAAACTGAGCTGCGTGATCAGTTCGGTCGGAGCCAATGAGGTAGGGCGAATTTTTGCACCCTGAGGAAAGACAAATGAGCTCTTTGAAGTGTGGAAAATATGACAAACCTAAAATGAAGGTGCCACCAACAAAGCACGGTGAAGTCACGTCTCATGTGAGTGAGCTTCTGAGGTCAGCACTTTCAGGCAGAAATTACGCACAGTCAGAAACACCCTTGAAAAATGCCTTCCGCCTGCTGTGAGGGTGCCTGCAACCTTGTGTTTTCCTGGTGGTGCTGGCGACCTCCCCAGGCTGTGATGGATTTGGGAGCCACCGAGCTAGACTGAGCAGGGCAAGTACGTTCATCTGTGGCTGCTTTCTAAGGTTGTCATCCACTGAGAACGGACCAGGCCGTGCCACTTAACTCCGTCTCTGTGTTGCTGCCTCTCTAGGACTTTCATATGCACCAACAGGTTTGTTTCTCAATCTGAGAATGCACAAGGGCCAGCATTGAGTTAAGTGCTCAATACGTTGGTGCTGGTCCAGCCAGCATACAGCTCCCTGCCTGGTAGCCTCCTGAGGTGTCCTGCTGCGTCTCTGAACAGCAGGCTGCCAGGCTTGTGCCCTTGGCTGTTGGTCTCCTTGAGACACTCGGTAGGATCGGGTCCAGTTTTAGTTATGTGGTCAATACCCGAGGATGATGTGGCTGCCTGTGAGTTCTCCTGGCCCTTCATTAAGAGGATGTTAACAGTGTCTGTCTTGTTGGTAGTTAACAAAAAGTTGAAAACTTTAATAGCTAGATTGGCTTGATCTCTTATCAGGCACAGATGTCTGCAAAGAAATTGATTTTCACACGTCCACTCTCTGTAACTTATTCGTGCCAATGCGCAGTAAATCTAATGAAACTGGATTATGAAATAACTTAAGCCTCTTGTATTCTCCCAGTTTCCTGAATTGAAAATGCCCTCAAATGTGACTAGTTTGCAAAATGATTGTTTACTTAGAAGTTAGGCAGAGCCTTCCAGATAAGTGAATGTCATTCTTCTTTGGGCTCAGGATCTGTGAGATTCGCCCAAGCCAAGCCAAACCAGAACCAGGCCTAGTGTTCCTTGTCCAAGGGCATCACCACTTCACCACAGAGCATTTGTCCCTGGCTGGCCGGGTGAGCTAGAAAGCACATGTGGCTTCCTGGTCCCAAGCCCAGCTTCAGAACCAGTCTGTTATTCTCTTCTGTGACGCCTCAAGAAAAATAGAAATTCAGATTTGACACCCTATCCCTTGTTCAGGATTGGCACTTTGTGTCACAAGGGAGTGACGGTAAGGTCTGACGGAGTGGTGGCACTGCAGCTGTGTCCTGGAGGGGAGAGGCCTCAGGCGTTGGAGGTGTGTGACTCTTATGGTGGGAATAGTTCATATCCCCTGCTTAGAAGTGTTTCAGCTTCTCAGCCCAAAGCCTAAATGACACTGAGCTCTGTGGCTTTGCATTGATCAACTCTGGGCAGGTTTGGTGGGTGGGTCTGAATGTGTTGGTGACCTTGCCAGTTCAGCCCTCTGTGGAGTCAGTTTTCAGTTTAAAATGGTTCCTCAAGGTCCTTTAGAATCTCAGCTTCATGTGAAATCTTTAACTTGCTTCACTTTTTAATTTTTTTTATTTTATTTTGGGGGTACTAGGGATTGAACCCAGGGTGCTTTACCCTTGAGCTACATCCCCAGCATTATTGAGGCAGGGTCTTGCTAAGTTGCTGAGGCTGGCCTCAAATTTGTGGTCCTCATGTATTAGCCTCCCAAGTCATTGGGATTATAGGTGGGTGACACTGTGCCTGTTTTTTTTTTATAAACCTGGTTTGGAAATTGAATCCAGGGCCTCATGTGTGCAAGGCAAGAGCTCTACCTCTGAGCTATATCCCCAGCCCAACTTGTTTCGTTTTTAAACCAGTGTGTTTGACTTTAAAGCCTCTCTCTTGTGTTTAATAATCACATTGAAGAAGTTGAGATGAAGCTGAGAATTTGCTTTTTTAAAAACCTAAGACCCTAGTCAGGGGAGGAGATCCATTTATAAACTTCTATGTATGGCTGAGGTGCAGACCTTTCAAAACATGGTGCTTTCAGCTCCACTTAATTGCTCCTTCAGAGAGCAGGCTTTGTGAACAGCCAGGGCTGTGATATCAGGCACCAGTGTCACATGGGGACAGGCAGCTCCGCCTTGCTGAGCCTGGTCTTCTCCTCTGCAAAATGGGGCCCGCAACAGTGCTGCTTCCTTCCAGGACTGAGGGGAAGCAGCCGAGTAGGATCGGCGCGGTGGCATAGTGAGCACCCATAGCCCTTCCTCGCTTGCTCAGGTGACAGCAGTGGCAGCTCCTCTCCCCGTCCCTGGCTACAGGAGGCCACTTATTGAGTGCACTTGTCAGCTCTGGCAGTCCCCCTGCTGCAAGAGTTCATTCGCAAGTCCACAGAAGAGTGCAGCTGTCCTGTGGACGAGGGAAGTCAGAGTCCACCTGCAGGAGGTGGAGGCTGTGGAAGGGATACCCTGTCTGAAGCTCTCCACTCTTCAGAGGCCTTGCTGGGCCCAGATGTCTCAAGGACACCTTTTATGGATGGCATTTTGTTCCCTTACAGTAACCTTTATTGTTAGCCTTAATTGTCAAGACCCCAGAGTACGGAGAGAATGTATGATACGGGGTGAGGAAAAGTATTTCCAGATTTGAAAGGTCTATTTTCACTGTGTATCTCTTGTGTATTGATAATGCTGTAATCAAACCTAATCAAGAGTCCTTGTAGTCCAGGCAAAAAGAGGACCCAGGGTTGCTGTGCTTTCCATTTTCTTTGTCAGAGTGTGGGGGAGATGGTGGGAAGAAATAAGTTCAGGGCTATTACCTGCTCCCTGTCTGGAGGCGCGCCTTTATAGTGGTCAAGGACAAGCTCACTCAGGCTGGGGTGGCCAGTTTTCTGCCCATACCTAATTCATGCAGCTATTTTAATGCCTGGGAGGTTCTCCCTTCAGCGTGTCTCAGCCTCTCACCTTGCTCTCTCGTGTCCCTGCAGATCTGGGTGAGGAAGACCAGTGACAGCACCAAGATGAGGATCTACTTGGGCCAGCTACAGCGCGGGCTCTTCGTGATCCGCCGGCGGTCAGCGGCTTGACCTCCCGAAGAGCTCTCTGCCTTTGACCCTTTTTCTGCAGTGGCTTTTATTTTTGTTTTGTTTACTTCTTAATAGAAAAATTTTAACTTACTGGGAATAACTACTTGGCCTTGGAAATGAAGAACACCGTGTGGATTCTGTGGGGCACTTCTGTGGCTGGTCACATCCACCTATGTGTCATTCTTCCCTGCCTCAGCTTCTTCCCAGTCAGCAGTCACCAGGGAACGCTCATTTTCAGGAGTATTTAGGGTGTTTGATTTAGTTTCTTTTTATTTCTTTATTTTTTTGCTTATCCTTTGTCTTTTTTTTTTTTTTTTTAACCTCCTCTGAGGTTGAAGAAACAGCTCTTCCTGTCAGTTATCTTTAGGTCTTTCTGCCGTGAAGAAGAGTGGGAAGGAATTCACTCTGTGATGCATTCTCCATATTTGATTCTGGTTAGTGGATCACGCAGCTACTGACCTGGCCGAGCCCCATCTGCTGTTTCCCTGGAAGCGAGGGGCAGAGGTCCTAGCAGAGGGAGATGAATTCTCCTGGCTCTTGGCCTTCTTGGAGAGAGAAATGCCTGTGTGACATCTGGCACATGCATCCATTCCCCTGGCTGAACTATGGAACATTTGCCGGGGAGACTGCATTGAAGTAAATGGGGCTCTGGGGGAAGGGACGTTTCATGTCATAATGTGCTGAAGTTACCATATTTTAAACGTTATTTAATGCAGGCGATTTGTCCGCACACATTTGTTCCAACTCGGGCTGGAATGAGAAGTGGTAATTTCAGAAGTTTTTATTTGTAATTTCTTTCTCCCCCCAGTTTCTGAGTAGATTGAGGGAGCACATGGCGTAGGCAGCTGATCTGGGTTGTCCCTGGGGTGGGGTGTGGAGATGACAGTGCAGTGCTGATGATCTGTAGACTCACGTGACTTATTCGTGTTGCTGATACCACTACTGCAGATTGGCCGTTCCACACCTGTGGAACCTTGTCAGGCCCTGGGCACTCACAGCCTCTTGGGAGACCTGGTCTGCTTTGGAGACAGGAGGGCTGCTGTGGCCGCGGCCAGACCCCTGCGCTTGTCCTGATGCGCCCCAGGAAACCCTTCCCTGCACTCCCTGTTCCTTCCCATTGTTCCCTTGTTTGGAGAAAGGCTTCCGTGGGTGGCGGGGTTGTCTGGTCTAGTTGCCATCTTGAGATGTTTAGAACATGGGATGGGAGCCACGGTCAGCGTCCCTGGGCAGTGACTAGACCTTACCCATCTTAGGAAATCTTTGTGAGTAATCCCCTTGGCCTCGGTCCCCGGGGTCCTCTCCATATTGTCTCTTGATGTACAAACCCACAGCAAGTTGGGGCTATGATGACATCAGTCACCTTCTGAGTTCTAGCTGCCACAAGGAGCAAACCCTCCTGGCTCTGAGTAAAGACGTACAGAGACCGTTTTGTCTTTATATCCACTTTTCTCATTTTTTCTGGTGTTGGGGTCTATTTTGAAAAGTTTCCTGGATGTTCTGTTTCTTCCCTGCCCTCCATCCCCCCAGTGTTACATGTACTACAGTGACCCCAGCCCAGGGCATGTGGGCCTCACCTGTCCTCGCGGGCCTTTGGTTTGAAGGAGGACTTGCTTGGCTCACGGCTGGTGTGTGACATCTCTGTCACGCAGCTGTGCTTTATCTTCAGGTGCCCTGTGATGGAAACTAACTCAGATACGTTTAGTATGTTTTGCCATTGAGCTTTTCTGTAGCTGATACCTCCCTTGTCCTTAGGAGCGTGTACCAAAGTGTGTGTCTAACGGAGGGGGCATGTCCGTGGCCACTGGGGCTCTGCACCGAGGCGTCCAGCTGCCTTTTGTCCTTGCCTTGTCTGGGGCGCTTTTGTGAAGTAACCATTTATTTGAAGACCAGGGTATGGTGCTTTTGCCTTCTCTCTCCTGTTAACTTTTGGGGTGTCTGAGACCCCACAGAGATAGGCCTGGTCTCGGCCCGGCCACTGCCTTCTGCACGTTCTGAGCCCTTAATCACGATCTGGTGAGAACAGGCAGAGGCAAGGGAGACTTGACGCAGCACAGGAAATCATTTTCCTAATCCCAGATTTTTATTTAGTCACCTCAGAGGTGAAAAATGGGCAGTTGGACCCTTCTGACAGGCCTCTGGTGACCAGGGGCGGGATAAACACTGTTAGTACATCACGGTCCTTCTGTGATGGACGGACGCTAAAGAGGAAGTGGACTCGAGGTTCCTGCTTAAGGAGGAGGCTGGCTTTCCACCCAGGTGGCCGTTCTTACCTACAGGGTTTTGTCTCAGCTGACCTCAGCACACCAGCTGGACTCCAGTCCCGGGGCCTGCAGGTGACCCTTTGAGACAGGGTGGTGCGCACAGCTCGGCCCTCGCAGCTGCACTTGGGTTTTGGTGGCTGGCCTCAGTGTTCACTGGAGGGTGCCCCAGTGTGTGTTTTCCCTCTTCCTGGGAGTCTGCCCTCCCCTGAGCCCTCCTTTCCAAGCCCATGTCCTCTTACACAGTTCCCAGAGAGATTTCTATAGCCATGCCAAAGCCAGGTGGTTGCGTTCCTGCAGGTGCCGGTGTTCGTGGGTGTCTGCCTGCCCAGCTCAGTTCTAACTTCTAGCTAGGACCAGTGTGAGATCCAGGGGTTGGTCTGTATTCAGGATTGGGGGTTTTTCTAAGGGGGATAGACAGGGCTGGGTGGGGTTGATTGCATTTTTTACCTAACTCTGGGTGCAGGGGGAATCCTCTATTTTTTTTTTTTCTTTTAATGTTTCCTTTTAGCCTTGAATCTTTACTAAATAATTTCCTCCTTATTTAAATTTTTTGTTTCATTTGGGATTTGACATCTTGGTACTTTGTGTTATACCGTTTTTTTTCCCCAAAGGGTTCAAACCATTTTTAATACCAGAACATGGTAAAATTGCAGCCATTTCAAGCAGCTGGTGGGCTTTTTATAAAACATTATTAGCTGGTACCATTAAATGTTCCGAGAAGTGAATGTAAAATGTATAGGTTTTTTTTTTTTTTTCTTTTTTTAAAAATAAACTTTCAAAGAGGAAACCAGCATGTAGTCTGTTGTATCCACTGGCCTGACAGATGATTGAAAGGTGTTTAAGTTCTCCTGTGGACTGTGGGGAAAGGCGTTGGGCTGGGGAGGAGTACACTGTATGTTCGTTCATCGTCAGGGAAGAGTGAGGTCATGATGTCGGGAAGGCGAGTTCTGATGTCTCAGGTTTTAAAGAGCAGTCAAGGGCTGTAGACCTTTAAAAGTAGTGTGTTCTCCATTACTTGCTGGGAATGATAAAATAATTTAATTTAAAATTGAGTAAATGAAATTGATCGTATGTGGAAGACCTTGAAGTTAGCTCAGGATGAGAGATGTTGTGAAGGAGTCAGTTCCTAAGCCAACGCGGCCGAGATGTGGGCCTACTTTTTCTTCTGTTAGGTGCACAGTCTCTGTTCTCTGCCTGAGGCTTTGATCCACTTTGAGTTGAGTTTTGTGCGTGGTGAGAGTTAGGAGTTTAAATTTCCTTTTGCTACAGATGGATTTCCGGTTTTCCCATCTCCGTGTGTGGAAGGGGCTATCTTTTCTCCAGCCCCAGCCCCGAGTTTTCTGTTTTAATTACCTGAACCGGAAAGCTCTTTCGCTCCCATAGTTGTTACAGTTTGAATCTGAAGTGTCCTTCTAGAGACCTGTGTATTAAAGACTTGGTCCCCATCTTGGTACTCTTGAGAGATTGGTGGGACTTCAAAGAGGTGGGGCCTGGTGTCACAGTTTATTTAGGTCATTGTGGCCGTGTGTTGAAGGGGACTGTGGGACACTGGTCCTGCCCCCCCCCCCATGGTGGCCCAGAGGTGAGCAACTTACTCCCACTCGCAAGGACCCTGATGTCCTGCAGACCTGGGTGTGCTGAGTCGTCAAAGGCTCACAGGGAAGTGGGTCAAAAGCTCCAGAATTGGGAGCCTCGGTAAGGTAAATCTCTTCACACAGGACTCTTTCCTCCTGTAATTCCAGGACAGCCAGGTGCCTGTTGTCACCGGGAATGGGCAGGGATGTGATAAGTGGCGGAACATGGGATGTGGCTGAACGCAGAGTAGACAAAGCTGACTCAGGCTGAGCCTCCCTCCCACCCTCCTGGATGACCAGCAAGGCTTGCCCTTGACGTTAGGGGCCTCCCTTTCCCTGAGCACCGTGTGTGCGCCAGGCTTGTGCAAAACCTCCCACGAGAGACATTTTCTCGGGGGTCCTGACAGTAATGGGTGAAAGTCCTAATGTTCCGATCCAAGACTCCCCCATGAATTTATGTAATAATTAATTATAATGAAGCCTGAAACTCAGTGTGCCTCGTACACCGTAAATGCTCCATAAATGTTACTTGTCAAAGTTAGTTTAAATGAGGTATGAAGCTGAGTGCCGTGGCACTGCAATCCCATGACTCAGGAGGCTGAGGCAGGAGGATCGAGAGTTCAAAGCCAGCCTCAGCCACTTAGCAAGGCACTGAGCAACTCAGTGAGGCCCTGTTTCTAGGTTTGAAATAAAAAAATAAAAAATAAAAAAGGCTGGGGTGTGGCTTTGTGAGGGCCCCTGGGCTGAATCCCCAATATTAAATAAATAAATAAGGTGTGAAGGCCAGCGGCTAAGTAGTAACAGCTAGGTCCGGGGGCTGGTCCTTGCTGGCATTCTCTGTGAAGCCTCATAACAGCCCTAAGGAGCAGAGACCTCCTTCCAGCCAGCATTCAGGGACAAGCGGGGGGAGGACCAAGGCTAGTCACAGGATGAGGTTCAGTGACTGTCAAGGGGGTGAGCCACAAGCTGGATCTTTCCAATCCCACGCTGTTTCCCGTCACCACTGTATTTTGCAGTCCTTTTCCTCACCCCTTGGTGAAAGTTACATTAGAGGGGCTGGGGCTCAGCGGTGGAGTGCTCGTCTAGCACTGCGAGGCCCTGGGTTCGATCCTCAGCACCACATAAAAATAAATAAATAAAATAAAGGTATTGTGTCCAACTACTTCTAAAAAATAAATATTAAAAAAAAAAAAAGAAAGTTACATTGGAGTTGGGGACAATGATGTGCCACTTGGAGTCCCAACTACTATGGAGCCTGAGGCAGGAGGATCCCTTGAGACCAACCTGGGCACCACAAGAGACCCCATCTTAAAGGCACACACATCCTGTCAGCCTGCCCACGTGGTTCTTGAGCGCCTCCCCAGGAGGGTTTGGTTTGGTTTGGTTTGGTTTCTGGGTCTGGAGATGGAACCAGTGGCCGGCACATGCCAAGCAAGAGCCTGGTAGCTAGAAACCTGCCTTTGCCTCTTTGCATGCACCGAGCAAGTGCTGGAGGTGGAGTTTGCTGGAGCCCTTTCTCCGCTGGGTGGCTCTGATTTCTCCCTTGGCAGAACAGCCAGCCGTTAACAGCAGTTAGGAGGTTGGTTTTTTGGTACCAGAGATTGAACTCAGGGGGCGCTCAACCACTGAGCCTATTCCCAGCATTATTTTGTATTTTATTTAGAGACAGGGTCTCACTGAGTTGCTTAGGGCCTCGCCATTGCTGAGGCTGGCTTTGAACTTGCAATCCTCCTATCTCAGCCTCCCACGCCACTGGGACGGCAGGTGTGGGCCACTGAATCGGCAGGAGGTTGCTTTTGTTGACATTGCATAATTATGACCATTCTAGAAAGAGAAGCACTTTCGTCCACAGTTGTTGGTCTTCCTGGGACCTACTTATACAGTGAGCAACGAGAGGCCCTTTGGAAGACACATCCAGATTTTTCCAGGTCACTTTCTTCTGTTCTTATCTATCTGGGAGTAGGGAGGAGGGTGGTGCCATGGAACTGGTTTCTAAAAGTGTAGGCAGAGAGCTGGACAGAGCCACCTGATGTTAGGGGCCTTTTCATGTCCTGTCCTCCCCTGGTGGTGCTCCAATTCCAGGTCACCTGCTTCAGACCGTCTGCTCAGGCCATTAGTGACCTGCTTATGAGCCACACCTGGGATTTGCAGTGCTGGGCAAAGACGGGGATAAAACCTGTTTCCGGTCTCTCTCTATTTGTTTAAGATGTCCCAAGACCTGTCCTTGGTGAGGCTGGGCATCTCTCCTGCTTAAAAGAAAGAGCTAGAAACATGGGTGCCATGTCACTCTCTTTGGACATAATATCAGAGTGAGGAATATATTACCTTTAGGGACTTTGGTGTTTACCAGAACACACATTTTTCTGAATAACTGGTTATTAAGGCAGAAAGATATCTATGTTTCGGAGACTCGCTACGGGAAAGGAGATAAGATATGGCACAGGTGCCTCGGTGCTTAATCCCTTTGCCCATTTTCTCTAATCTGCGTTTGCTCGATTACCTTAAAGATACAGATCTGTAAAGTAACAAAATTCACTTTGCTGACATGAGAAGACCAATAACCGAATCTGAGCCCTGCCCCACCCTGTCCCTTTCTGAAGGAGCTGGGGGCTTGGCAGAGTGTTGTCCCTCCTGTGGGGGAGGCCGGGATCTGTTGGAATCTCCCCTCCAAAGACTCATGATGTGGGGTAGGGGGCGGTTAAGGCAGGCGGATTTCCAGAGCCAGGCCAAGCAGCTCCCCAGGGCCTGGTACTAGCAGGCACCGAAGGCAGCTCAGGCCAGCAGCCCCTGCAGGGAACCAGGAATCACCTCTTTCACCATGGGTTCTCCTAACGATCTGTGTTCACTGAGACCCAGTGTGACCTGGCTGAGAACAAAGGCAGGATGTGAATCTGGCTTGGCTGCCTAACTTGACCTCTGGCAATTTAATTTCCTGGAACTTGACTTTTCTCATCTGTTAAAATCTACCTTGTATATTTTTGAGGAGTCTTGTAATATAAACACAACTCTATGTGCTAAGTATTTTACACATATTCATTGAATCCCTATGACACTTTGAGTTAGGTACTATAATAATCCTCAGTTTATAGTTGAGGAAACAGAAAGGTGAAGTCACCTGCCCAAGGTCACACAGCTAGTAAATGGCAAGCCAAGATTCTAAGCCCAGATGTTCTCTCCAGAGTTCCTGTCTTCACTGTGCTGTACTTTGAAGCATATATGGCAAAGATCAAATGCAGGGACTGCTCAGTCTGTGGAGACTGTCCCCACAATTACAGCTGCTGTTAAGTCTGTGCCAAATCCTGAGAGACCAGAACAGGTTCAGGAAGCTGGCTGAACACCAGCAGGCCATGAAGGTAAAGCTTCTGGCTTTGGAGGTCTTTCTAGGCATGAGCTCCGACAGCTGGGTTCTGATTGTCCCAGGGCAGAGGAGAGAAGGGTTCGGGAGCCCAAGTCCAGGTGGTGCAGGAAAGCGAGCTAATCAGATTAGTTAGTGTCTGCCACACACAAGGGACTCGCCCTGTTTGCCATCCTTGACTTAGTTTGGTCTCCTCGTTTTGAAGATGAAAACAACCAAGGCCCAGAAATGTTAACTGACTCCAAGGTCACATGGCTGGTTATAAGCAGGGTAGGGCACCCATTTGAGGTCCTGCTTGCACCAGGCACTATGCTGGAAAGTGCAGGCCACAGCCCACTTTTGCTGGCTAATTTGGTGCCCTGTGGGTTTGTCTTGGCCTCTGCTTGTGCCTGTGGTGGAGGTGATGGTGGTCATAGCCCTGGCTCTGCCATTCATCAACTGGGACTCAGGTACCTAATGTCTGTGTCTTGGTGTTAGAGTACACTTGACCCAGTGTGCCAGGGACACACTGGGCTGTTTTAGCACCTGTTATGGTTTGGATGTGAGCTGTTCTCCAAAAGCTCATGTGTGGGACCCAGCAAGAATGTTCAGAAGTGAAATAGATGAAGAGAGCTGTAACCTCATCAGTGGATTAATCCACTTGAATGGGTTAACTGCATGGTAAGTGTAGGCAGGAAAAGTGTGGCAGGAGGAAGTAGGTCATTGGGTGTGTGCCCTGGATGGGCGTTTCTTGTCTCTGGCCCCTGCCTCTCCCCTTGCTTCCCTGGCCACCAAGAGCTGGGCAGCTCTCCTCCGCCACCCTCTTCCACCATGATGTTTCTGCATTGGAGTCAGCCAGCCAGCAATGGGCTGAACCCCCAA